ACCTTTTTACTATGCATCTTAAATCATATTCATCAACAGGAAAACCAAACTCAGATGATTTTATTGCATATGCCTTAAACATGTCTTCTTCTTTTGATGTAAATATTTGCTGACCACCATACTTTTTAGGATATGTCTGTTTTATATTATTTTTTAATGTTGATCTTGGTATATCGTATTTCAAAGCTGCTTGTCTTTGAGTAATTAAACCATTGTCTAACTGTTCTAAAGTATAAGTAACATATTTTCTTCTTCCGCGATTTGGCTTGTAATTTTGTGGCAAATTCAAACTAAGAACTAAACAAATTTCACTATAATTTTATACTGATTTACTAATACAAACTGTTATACTGATTTTCTATTGCATTACTACTACAAATTTTTTTATTCCAACATAGTAACACCATAATATCTATAAATGATTACTAAAAAAGGTTTACCCTAATACATGGGGTGACTTTAGCCCGGGCCAATGTCACCCTATGTAGTGGGCCAAAGACAACCTTTTTTTTTTAACCTGAATTAAAAAAAAGTAATAAACTGTTAAGCTTTCAAAACAAGATAGAATCAAACACTTAAAATTAATTCAGAGTATATTCCAATAAAAAACCTTCTACAGGTACGATGTAAAAGTTTAAACACCTAAAAAAAAATCGAATTTTAGGTGCTTCTTCTAAAGTGCAATTTACAATAATATCACAAAGACTCGAGTTAAGTAAACTAAGTTAGACTAAATAAATAATAAATTTCCTACTAAACATCAACCGGCATACCTTGAGGTATCGATTTTAAACCATTTTTAAACAAAAATTTCCCTTGGGCTTAAGTCCCGTAGGGCCAAAGCCACCCAATCTTACGGTACTACAAAGTGATATATGTATGAATATTTTATTTTTATTTTGTTGTTGCTATAGTTACTTTATAAGATCTTACTGATCTTCGTTCAGATACCTAGTTTTTCAAATGTTAGTAGTATTTGCTCATTATATTGTAAAAACGAACTAACAAATGTAAACTAAAATATTAAAAAAATCTATGTACCTATCTATGTATTTATCTATGTACCTCGCACCCCCCCCCCCTTCACTCTCAGCGACATTGGGTGGCTTAATAAAACCGATTGCCTGATTTTATTTGTGGTATGATTATTTTTTCGTGATTGTGAAATGAACAATACGTTCTGCACTATGCAAACCTAATGTTATAAGGTTTTTTAAGCAGTTAATTTGCAGCATTAGCCACGACCTAAACATATATTGTGAATGATAATTTGAATATACCAATATCATTTTATGAAATCTTCAAGTTGTATTACCTTTTATTAACTGAGGTTTAAAACAGATTTTTCATGTGTTTTCTGTAGAGATAGAAGATCTCTAATTAATTTCAATTCTGATATCAGACACGTGCTTCTTAAAACTCTAATCAATTTAAATATAAACTATTTAAAATTGACATTTGATACACATCTTTTAATTTAACAGATGTTTTAACATTTACTAGTGACAAGATATTACTATTGCTCGACCAATTTTACCTAGTTGCACCGATATCGCTAGATCTATATTATCTAGTTGCAACTTTACCAATGTAAACTATTATCAAATATTTTTGTGATATATACATGTAACTGTTGATGGACATATCTTTATATGATATAAGATAATTGATACTACTTGTCGCTAAATATATGTACATATTGTATTCTTACATAAAATATGTACATATAATATTACATATTATATTCTTATAGATGCAATTAACTTAAAAATAAACTTTTCGATCTTTGGTGACCATTTGGTCCGGGGATACCTTTTTTTTCCAAGCATGTATACATACAATTAATATTTATGTTTATTTTTTTTTTAAACATAATAATCAGGCGCGGATGCAGCATTTTTTGATGTTTGATATGCCTAACTTCCAGACATGGAGCGAACTTTAAAAATTTATGTGTTTACATCTATATCAAATAAGGATGCCTTACAAAAAATTGCAATGATTGGAGCCTGGGAACAAAAAACCCCTAATATTTTAGCTACACCTGCCCCAAACGTGAGAGCAACAAGTTGATAAAATAATTTTTATACTATTCTTAACTAAATCTATATTCATCGATAAATTTTAAAATTCACACAAAAATCTCTTAGCGTTCAAAAACTATGATTATAAAAAGTTTGAGCCCCCCTCAATTTGATGGGGTTGCAAATTTTAAAAGGCTATAATTGTTAAGCGCTAAGAGATTATTGTGTAAGTTTTAAATTTTATCGATGAATATAAACTTGGTTATGAATAGTAAAAAAAATATTTCATCAACTTGTTGCTCTCACGTTTGGGGCAGGTGTAGCTAAAATTTTAGGGCTTTTTTGTTCCCAGGCTCCAATCATTGCAATTTTTTTAAAGCATCCTTATTTGATATAGATGTAAACACATAAATTTTTAAAGTTCGCTTCATGTCTGGAAGTTAGGCATATCAAACATCAAAAAATGCTGCATCCACGCCTGATAATCTTCTTGTTCTGATAATATGAATATTATTATTATTAGTCGAGTTACGTCATTTTCTAGGCTTTTCTATTTTAAAGTAGTTTCTAGGCTTTTCTATACGCGGTTTTTTTTTATTTATTTTTTTTTTTGTTTTTTTATTTTTTATTTGCATTCACTCCCAACAAGGCTGCAAGCAACCACTATTAAGTTGGGAGTTACTAGGAAAAAAAAAAGAACAGAGTTATAGAGCAAGGAAACGGTTGACAGAAGACTTGAAAAGTTGAAGGTTGTATGAGTCAGGAAAACATGAAGATGGGAGAGAGTTCCAAAGGATTGAAGTGCGGGGAAAAAAACTAGATGAATAAAAGTTTTTAGAGCATGCAGGGACAGATACAGTAAACGAATGAGACTTAGCTGAATGACGAGTAAAACGAGAATGAATTTTAGTTGATGGAACTAGAGATGATAACTCCTTTGAGCAGTGACCATGATAGTATCTGTAGAAAAGAGAAAGAGATGCAACTTTACGACGATGGGAAAGAGGTTCAAGCTTAGCAGATAGTCCAGGTCCAACAACATTTACAATGCGTTTTTGGACCTTGTCAAGAAGAGAAAGTGAATCGTTAGAAGAACCAGCCCAAATATGACAACAGTATTCCATACAGGGACGAATAAGAGATTTGTAGAGGTAGAGGATGGAATCAGAAGTAAGGAAATGACGAGCACGATAAAGAGAAGCAACCTTAGCAGAAGCTAATTTAGCAATCGATTGTATATATGGTTTCCATAAAAGGTCAGTAGTAAGCGATAATCCAAGAAGACGTAAAGAGGACGACTCAGTAAGAGGCTTGCCATTCATTAATATAGGAATGTTGACCATATTACGGTAGTTGTTTGCAGTAAGCAATTGGATTTTTTTAGAGTTGAAATTCACAAGCCACTGTGAACCCCAATCTATTACTGAAGTGAGATCAGATTCAAGATCAGCTGCTTGTTCTAGGCGATCGAAAAGAGAAGACTTTTTGTCAAGACAGGAGTATAAAGTTGAGTCATCAGCAAAAAGAGCTACTTTAGATGAAAGGTTGTCAGGAAGATCGTTTATGTAGATAAGAAACAAAACAGGGCCCAGGATGGAACCTTGGGGAACCCCAGAAGTTACTGGGAATAAAGAAGAGTGTTGGCCTTCAAGGATGACTTTAATAAACCGGTCAGAAAGAAATGATTTGATAATCTCAAAAACTCTCCCAGAAACACCATATGAAGCAAGCTTATGGAGAAGACCAGCATGCCAAACTTTGTCGAAAGCTTTAGATATGTCGAGAGCAATAGCCCTAGCCTCACCGCCTCCATCTAATGCACGATAAAATCTTTCAGTTACAGCAGTTAGCAAGTCGGCCGTAGAGCGAGAGGATCGAAAACCGTATTGATTGTCTGACAGCAGTTTATTTGACTCAAGATGAGATGTGAGGAATTTGTTGATTAAAGACTCAAAGACCTTGCTAATAACAGAAAGAAGACTGATCGGACGATAATTGGAGAGGTAAGAATTTTTTATTTACTAACAACGCGTATTACGGGTTGCTTACTGCTAGTACATTATTAGTATTATAATACATTAGGTTTTTAAGATTTGAATTTGTTAAAACAACTTTTTAAAATTCTTTAAATTTTAAAGCAATAAACGCCAAAAACTACTTTAAAAATAACCTATTTAAACTAAATAAATGTTAAATGCAAACTAAAATTTGTTCAAATTTATATTGTCTATAAATAAAGATTAATAAAAAGGCTTATCACCTTTGTTTTGTTATATATCGCCTTTGTTTTGTTGTATATCGGATTTTAGAGTTTCAAGTCATCATTTGGTATAAAAAATAGTCTAACAAAGCTCCATTTATCGCAAGTACCAAGACTTGAGTCTTAGTACCTCGGTAGAAATTTACTCAAGTCAATATTTTCTATAAATAATAAGGACATTTCTTGCACCAAAGTTATTTTTAACTTATTTGTTGAGTTTTTTATCTACCCCCCCCCCCTCCTACCTGTCTTAAAATGAACCTAAGAATTTAAAAAATGTTCAATTTTTAATTTCTCAAAAAATACATAAATCATGGCTAACTTTTTTAGTTGACTTGTGGGTCAATTTTTGACATAAAGTCATTATATGCGCAAATAAAACATTTTTAGAAAAATCAGATTTAATAAAAAAAAAAGATGAGGTCAAACCAATGACCTTAGGCGACACTTACTTTAAACAGAACAAATCTAACACCTGTCAAATTGATTTCAAGTTATTAGATAAAAAAGATTATTTCTCATTCACAGACAAAACTATTATCTAAATTGCAAGTTATTTTAAATAAGAGTTTCAAGTATCATCAAAATAAGTATATTATAAAATTTTACATACTTTTTTTACCTTACATTTTTTCGTACAAAATATTAAAAAATAAAATCTCCACAAAATATATTATTACTAAATACAAATACCCAAAAATAAATAAATGCAAATTTATATATATATATATATATATATATATATATATATATATATATATATATATATATATATATATATATATATATATATATATATATATATATATATATATATATATATATATATATATATGTCTTAATTTTATATATTAAAATTTTTGCATTTAAAATTAAGTGTAAATAACTTTTAAGTGACGCTCTTCAAAATTATGCCAAAATATTTCCGGAATATTAACAATCACTTTAATTATCTCAGTTTTAGTTGGTTTATTTTTGTCCATCAAAACCCCAGTGGGGCACTTTACTTGCTCCTTTAAAGCCTAAATTTAGTTTAAAAATATTAAACATTAAAAAAATGTCAAATAGATAAAAAAATAACATCACTAATTAATAAAAGAGATAATGGACACTAATGGAACAAAAATTAATTAAAAATCAAACTTTTTTTTTTTTATTTGCATTCACTCCCAACAAGGCTGCAAGCAACTACTATTAAGTTGGGAGTTACTAGGAAAAAAAAAAGAACAGAGTTATAGAGCAAGGAAACGGTTGACAGAAGACTTGAAAAGTTGAAGGTTGTATGAGTCAGGAAAACATGAAGATGGGTGAGAGTTCCAAAAGATTGAAGTGCGGGGAAAAAAACTAGATGAATAAAAGCTTTTAGAGCATGCGGGGACAGATACAGTAAACGAATGAGACTTAGCTGAATGACGAGTAAAACGAGAATGAATTTTAGTTGATGGAACTAGAGATGATAACTCCTTTGAGCAGTGACCATGATAGTATCTGTAGAAAAGAGAAAGAGATGCAACTTTGCGACGATGGGAAAGAGGTTCAAGCTTAGCAGATAGTCCAGGTCCAACAACATTTACAATGCGTTTTTGGACCTTGTCAAGAAGAGAAAGTGAATCGTTAGAAGAACCAGCCCAAATATGACAACAGTATTCCATACAGGGACGAATAAGAGATTTGTAGAGGTAGAGAATGGAATCAGAAGTAAGGAAATGGCGAGCACGATAAAGAGAAGCAACCTTAGCAGAAGCTAATTTAGCAATCGATTGTATATATGGTTTCCATGAAAGGTCAGTAGTAAGCGATAATCCAAGAAGACGTAAAGAGGAGGACTCAGTAAGAGGATTGCCATTCATTAATATAGGAATGTTGACCATATTACGGTAGTTGTTTGCAGTAAGCAATTGGGTTTTTTTAGAGTTGAAATTCACAAGCCACTGTGAACCCCAATCTATTACTGAAGTGAGATCAGATTCAAGATCAGCTGCTTGTTCTAGGCGATCGAAAAGAGAAGACTTTTTGTCAAGACAGGAGTATAAAGTTGAGTCATCAGCAAAAAGAGCTACTTTAGATGAAAGGTTGTCAGGAAAATCGTTTATGTAGATAAGAAACAAAACAGGGCCCAGGATGGAACCTTGGGGAACCCCAGAAGTTACTGGAAATAAAGAAGAGTGTTGGCCTTCAAGGATGACTTTAATAAACCGGTCAGAAAGAAATGATTTGATAATCTCAAAAACTTTCCCAGAAACACCATATGAAGCAAGTTTATGGAGAAGACCAGCATGCCAAACTTTGTCGAAAGCTTTAGATATGTCGAGAGCAATAGCCCTAGCCTCACCGCCTCCATCTAATGCACGATAAAATCTTTCAGTTACAGCAGTTAGCAAGTCGGCCGTAGAGTGAGAGGATCGAAAACCGTATTGATTGTCTGACAGCAGTTTATTTGACTCAAGATGAGATGTGAGGAATTTGTTGATCAAAGACTCAAAGACCTTGCTAATAACAGAAAGAAGACTGATCGGACGATAATTGGAGGGGTCAGAATTTTCTCCAGAGTTTTTGAATATTGGAACCACAGATGCCATTTTCCAACAAGCAGGAAAACAAGACTCAGTCAAACACTTGTTAAATAGTTTAGAGAGAATTGAAGAAAGTTCTGGAGAACAATTCTGCAAGACTGTGACAGGAATGTTGTCTGGACCACAAGCTGTAGACGAGTTTAATTGAGATATGACTTTAGCAACAGAAGCCGGAGTGATTTGAATGTCTAACAATGGGTCAACCTGTTTGACTGGAATGGAAGGAAGCGAATGTCCATAAGATTCAAGAGTGGAATTAGAAGAAAAATTCTTTGCAAACAGTTCTGCCTTATCCCTGGGAGAGGTAACAAGATCAGTCCCATGAATGAGAGATGGAATGTTAGATCTACCCTTGTTAATAATGCTGTTGAAGATTTTCCAAAAGTCTTTAGAGCCTAACTTCTGCGATAAGATGCGAGATTTAGTGAACTGAGAATAATGGAGTTTAGCATCAGAAAGCACCTTTTTACATCGATTTCTTGCAATAATAAATAGCCGTTTGTTCTCAAGAGAGTTGTTCTTTTGAAAAAGATGAAAAAAAAAACTGATTCAGAACCAAGGCATAACAAACTAAACACATTAAATCTATTTCTTAAAATATTGTAGAAAAATATTCTCCACATTGCGATAACTTTAGCGTTTGTTTTTTTTAGATTAAAAATCTTGTATTCTAAAAACTTGCAGATACACAAAACTTAGTTAAGAATAGTTTTATGATAAATTTCAATACAATTACTAAGAATAAAAAACTTAGATTAAATAACACCTGCTCCAAAAAAAATCAATATTTTGTTATAATATATTAATAAAATATATATAATCAAAAAATATATATAATTAAAAATATTATAATAAATATTATATTTTATAAATATTTTATAAATAAAATATTTATAAAATATATTTTACAGTAAAAATAAAAAAAATTAACAACATAATTTATTTTCAATAATTCTTTACATGTAACAGTATTTCGGAATGGAAGGAGTATTTAGAGAGATAATTAAGAGGATGAGTTTCGTAATATTAAAAAAAAGTTTTCTATAATTTTTTTTTAATAGAAACAAAATTAACAAAATAATATATGTTTTGCGGACTAAAAAACTAAAGTTCCATATTTTCTTTTTATAATCGTAACTTGAATGTTTTTTTATCATTACATAACTGTACAAAAGCACAAAAATCAGAAATAATACTACTGACTTATGTGTAAATCAGAAATAATACAACTGGCTTATGGGTAAAATAGAAATAATACTACTGACTTATGGGTAAATAATATTTTTGATTTATTTGTTTTTGTACAGTTATGCACCAAATAAAATTAAAAAGCTTTTTGCCTTCAGCTTTTTTATTTTTACAAAAAAATGTTTACCATTGATTTATACCATAGACCATAACCTAATCATGACATTAAGTTACTCGGATATTGAGGCAAATGAGGCTCCTGAGTTTTGGTGAAAACAATTTAGAGACAATAACTAAGACAAAGAAAATCAGATTGAAAGAAAAAAATACCCATTTAATTGGGGGTAGTGGTATAAGGAGCTTATAAACCTTGGATGATAATTCTCCTAATGTAAGTATAAAATGCCTGAATTCTTAATTCTATAAAAAATTAATTCAACTATTCCATATTTAAATAAAAAAATAAAATTGTGAAAAACTGTCCAGGACAACAAGTGTAGAACTCAAACATATATACCACACTGCATGTTCAAATGCAGGGATAGCAATATTAACTGCTTCACTTGAAGATCTCAGAATATTAAAAACTTTTCCTACCAAATCATATTCTGAGACCTAATTCTCCAGTCTATTAGCTATCAGGTGTCACATTAAAACTCATTTATATGGAGCCTACATCTTTGTACTTAATGTTTTTAAATCATTTCAGGTGCAAAATAGAAAGAAAAAAAACAACTGTTAGACTTATATAAGACTGCAATTGCGGATGCAGCATTTTTTGATGTTTGAGATACCTAACTTCCAGGTATGGAGCGAACACTAAAAATTTATATTTATACTTATCAAATAAAGATGCTTTGCAAAAGATTGCAATGATTGGAGCCTGGGAACAAAATAGCCCTAAAACTTTAGCTACACCTGTCCCAAATGTGAGAGCAACAAGTTGATAAAAAAAATTTTATACTATTCTTAACTATATCTATATTTATTGATAAAAATTCGCACAATAATTAGTTAGTGATGAACACTAACTAATTATTGTGTGAGTTGGAAAATTTATTGATGAATATAAACTTGGTTGAAAATAGTAAAAAAAAATACTTTATCAACTTGTTGCTCTCACGTTTAATGCAAGTGTAGCTAAAATTTTAGGGCTGTTTTGTTCCCAGGCTCCAATCATTGCAATTTTTTGCAAAGCATACTTATTTAATATAAGTATAAACATATAATTTATTGAGTTTGCTCCATGTCTGGAAGTTAGGTATCTCAAACATCAAAAAATGCTACATCTGCCTGTCCTGTATAAAACTATTCTTTTATTTTCAGCAGAGTATGACATATATGATAAACTTTACGCCAACAATAGAACTTTCATACTATTAATCCTAGAATAAAAAAACAAAAAAACATTTAGTTTACCAATTGTTAACTAATTAGTCCTGCATTCAACATTCAAAAATCTTTTTAGAGAAAAGCATCTTTATGTTTCCCTAACTCATACAACTTACAATTTTTTAAGCTTTTAACTGTCTTCGCAACTGTAATTAGTTTTAATATTTGCTTTGAACATTTTTTTATATTTTGTATATGTATATGCTTTATATTCTTCTATCAACTGCTTTTAGTCTTTAACTCACTTCTAATTATCCAGAATTATATATAATATATAATGCAAAAATTTATATTTTGAGCAATATATTTTTGAATATATATTTATGGAAAACTATTTGGTAATCTGGAAAAAGTAAAAGTTGAAAAAAAAATCTGGAATTCCAAATATATCTGGAGAAAGATGGTTACATGAACTCTAAACTTAAAGAGTAGTCACTCTTTAAGTCTGCAACCTTACCGGTAACAAATTTGCTTTAAAAAACCCTATTTTTTACAAATAAAACTTAGTGAGTTAATACATCCATACTATTACTGGAAACTATTCGCTGTACCATAAAAACTATATGATCTGGAAATTAAGTGTAGTTACTTAAACCATAAAAAATGAGATAAAAATTTCAAGTCTAATATTTTGGATATGTTGCAAAATCATTTTAAACAACTAACATTGTATAGAGGAGGCCTGCTTTACATTTGATTTGTGTACCTATGCCACATATATATACTAATGCCACTATATACACTAGAAATGCGCAAAAAAAACCTGCACCAACATAAGTTAGAAAAAGGGAATAGTCACAAAACTATTCAATTGCAATGCTATAGAATAGTTTTGAGACTATTCCATGCAATTTTAGGCGTTTTTCCAGATATTTTGCATTTAACCAATTCTTAAAAAAAAAAAAAAAAATAAAGATAAAATCTTTTATTTATGAAATAAAACATATATAAACTTTTTTCTTTAATTAATTTGTGAGATAAATTTGTCTTAAGATTGCTTTTAAAATCCTCTCAACAATGAAGTTAAATTCACTCATGCTTTAAAATTTAATTTAAAATAACTTCTAAACTAATAAAAATCATATAAAACCCAATTAAATAAAAAACAAACCACTCTTAAAGAAAATTTACAGTTTGTTATTTATTATTTTATTAAATGATCAGAGATTTATAAATACTTTTTTTTAGTTATATAAATATTTATTTTTTATGATAAATCTAAAACTTTTAAAACAATCTTTATGGCTTACTTTATAAACAGTAACACTTTAAACCAATAATTGTAAGAGTAGGTACTACAATTCTTTATGTTGGCAAAATTAAACATAGAAAAATAGTAAAAATTAGGCACAGAGAAGCAGTATATGATCGAATGTTATAAAGTTAACTTTAGGTGTTAAATATCATAAAAAATTACTGTATTCATATGTGAATCAGAAAGTTATTTTAATTTGTTTTTACATAAATGATGCTACTATGCTTTAAAATTTAAAGATTTTACATACTACTTATGCTGAACTTCCTTTTTGATTTTTAATTAATTTACAACATGCTAGTGATATTAGACCCAAATAAATCTATAGGGCTAATTTAATGTTTATACCACTGGTATAAACATTAAGTGTCTACTAACTACACTAAACCTTTGGATTACTAAGTATTTACACAGGTTTGCTAGACACTGGTATAAACACAAAAACGTAATATAGAATTATATTATCAATAAAATATCAATAATATAATTCTATATCGGTAAAAATAATTACCCCATTTTTACGACAACCAGTTTGTGCAAATGTAAGCATAAAATGAATACTCATTCCGTCATTTATCATTTTTTTATCAGTTTGTTTCATTTCCAGCAACTCGTAAGTGTACATACTATTTGATCTCAGGTTAAAATCTTTAGCAAGGAAACTTTGAACATTTGATAATAAATCTTTTTCAGTAACATCATTTTTGTCACTGCTCTCTTCGTTAATATTAGAGTCGTCGGCACTGGTATTCATTGCTGGAGAAAAAGAAAGTAAAAATAAACATAAAATGATAAAACCGGACATTTTTTTAAGGAATTAATTTCGTACCTAATTGGACAAAATAATATAAACTCAAAAGAAGAGATTGCCGCACGGCAATTTTAGAGATGGTGTTTTATTATCCGGTTTTATTTATTTTATTTTTATTCCAACTATATATAAATACATAAATAATATGTCCAATGATATATAAATATTTAAATACGTTATATATATCATTGTTTCATTCAGTATTTTTAACCTGTTTTGCATACAGGGCAAAGAAAATTGTTGAAAATTGTTGTTTTTGTCACGGAAGGAAATAGATACACTAAATTTTGAATTAAAAATAAATAAAAAGGCATAGATGGTAACTGGGGTTAAAAACTTTCCTTGTAGAGTTCTAAAGTTTCTGTTATAGGTCTTTAAAACTTGCTTTACGGAAGCAATGATAAAAAGGCTGTAAAATCCAATTTCTATTTTGAATTTAGATTTTATCAAACTTAATAGAAATACAACAACAACAACAAAAATTATTATTAAACATGTTTAAGACCTTAGTTAAATTTACAAAAGTGTTTTTGAATAATATTTAAAAATTTTACTCCAAATCAATTAAAGAGACTTAGTGTCACAGAAAAACAAAAATTACACATTCAGTCATGATAAACTTATGATTTATTTACACTAAAACAAAATGTATAACATTTTGTTTCCTAGACTTTTTTTATCATTGATATTGATATCATTATCCATATGCTTTTTCTTCTTTTTTTTTTTTCATCTCAATGCTTTAAAAAACATTTGATAATTTTTTAAAAGTGTTGTTTAAGAAAAATTAAATTAAATTTGGATTTAATCTTCTAACATGTTGAACCTTTAAAGTTACATAAGTGTGAATGCTATCATTTAAATCTTGGAATTCAATTTCTTTTGCACCTAAGTACGTCACTGTAATGTTACACAGCTGATTATCAATTTAAAAAAACTGTTTAGCTTTTTTAATAACAACTTTAGCTGTAAACTTGGTTTTTAATAGATCTATTAATTCCATCATGGGTCCTTTAACGTAATGTACCTCATCATTTTCATCCAATTCAATGTAATATCTTCAGGAATATAAGTAAAGGATCGAAAAACATATTGAGATTGAAAATGAACAGCGCACCCATCACTTTATAAATGCGAAGTGGAAACTGATGGAGCTATACCCTTGACCTTATTAATGAATCGGTTGTTGTTGGTAAATGCAACATTGAGATCATGTTTAGTTTCATTTAATATAATAGCTATGTTAAAATTCACCAAATCAAGTTTACTGTTTTGAACATTTATACTTTTACAGAAGTAACAAGCTGCTATAAATATGTTACATGTTCATGCGCAAAACAAGCACACTGGATTTCGTGGAATTTATTATTTTTGTAGAACTTTTAAAAAATTGAAAATGATTATTACTTCATCTTCATTAAGATTGTTTTCAACCATTTTGAAATAAATATTTGAAGGTAAATAATATATTTATGCATTCTTATTTTCCTACCGTCAACCATTTCTGATAAAAAATATGGTAGTTTTTTTTACCAGTAGCCTCTTCTTGAACTTTGCGAACAATTTTTTTTTGAGGATATTCAACGGTATTAAGGTAAAAATCAATTTCTTTTTCATTTTTAAACAAAACATGATACAATGGTTCTTTCTGGACATTGCAAAAAATCACCTTCCATGGACATGTGTGACTTGACAACAAGCTCCACAAAATCTAGTGTTTTAGCCAGTAGATTTTCAATAATTACATTTTTTTTCTTTTATAAAATATTTTTTTTATTGCTTGTTGCAAAGGATAAACATTTTTACTGGTTTTACATCGACAATCATCTTTAGTTATTTTCCTTAGCTTAACCAGGTTTGATAATTTCTCACTAAAATTCATCATAAAATTCAGTTATACAACTGTAAAGTAAACTTAATCAAGAAATAATTTAACTGTCAAGGAAAACACACATATAAAGTTACAAAGGATACCGAATTCAATCCCTATAAAAAATGTTTACCACGTATTTGGTTTGATCTGCAATCAGATCTTGGTAGAGTTTGTTAAAATCTAGTACTCTGTGAAATTTAAGAAAGTCAACCGTATAAGTGATATGGTTGATAAAATAATACGTTTACTCATAGTTTATCATGAAAGGATTTATATTTTTTGTATAAAATATAACATTTTCTTTCATTGTCACCAATGCTAAGAAAACTTAAATCTTTTTTAGAGTTACACCATACTTGAGTAATTCTTACAAAATGGTAAAGTCATTCAAAAAAGTTAAATGCATTCTAGATTTTTCAAGTTTAATTTATTCTGTGTGTACTTCTGTGACAACGAATATGATTATTGGTTAACATTATAAGTTTATTGTGGGACAACTAACGGCTCTACATTTAATTTTAAGATTAAAATTTAAAATTTTAATAAAATTAAATAAAAAATGTCCTACCAAATAAAAAAAGTATACTACAAAGAAACTATGGCTGACAAAATTAATAGTAAAATTTATTACTCGCAAAATCAACTAAAATCAATTTTCAAAGGTCTCGTGTTAGCTGAACAAAAACAGTTAAGATTCCTCTATGAATGCTTAAATTAAATGTGTAAGTTAAAAGATTTACTTAAAAAAGATTGTTCAATTTATCTGTTAAATCAAGTACTTTAAAGTATTTGTTTTAATTTATCAATTAAACCAAGATTTTAAGGTTCTTTGTAAATGACTAAAAAAAAACTTAAATTTAGAACACAAAAGTCTATCGCCATGTTTATTGTAAATTCAAAAAGAAGAGATATTTTTACAAACCAAAGCATGAAAATAAAAGTGATCTCGGATTACATAGTTATTGTATACGGTGATTATGTGAATTTTTTAGAAATTTGAAAATTTAAATTAATCACATTCAAATTTACTAAACACATTAATTATATCAAGCACAATTGCAAAGAAAATTGGATGGATGAAGCACTGGATATTTGTTATCCGTTGACTTAAATTATTGCTAGAACAAGCAATTACTCAAGTTAATGGGTTTAATAGTTTTGAATCAAAAAGCTGATCTTTAAAACAATTATTAATTGTGAACACACAAAAAAAAATATTCTAGAAAAGCTACAAAACAAAATATTCTAGAAAAGCTACAAAACAAAATGTCTTAGAAAAGCTAAAAAATAAAATACACTAGAAAAACTACAAAACAAAATATCCTAGAAAAATTAGAAAAAAAATATCCTAGAAAAGCTACAAAACAAGATCACGAAAATTTTTTCATGAAATGTGACTTGTCCACTTACAAAACAGAATTATTAAAGTTAGTCAATTGAATCAGTAAAAAAAGAAATAATTGTAAATAATAATTGTAAATGATAATTGTAAATAAAGCATTTTATTCAGAATATAAAATTAACTGGAAACGAACAATTTAAGTCATTTTATGTAAAGTACATCTTAACAATGACACAAGACAATGGTTGAAAAGATGATTTAAAAGCATTTTACGTAATTGCTCAAATATTAAATGAACTAGAATCTAAAAACTTTAAAAAAATTAAATAAAATTTATTTTTTAAAATAGCATTAAGTTGCTAAATGAACAAATAATTTAATTGTAAACTTTATAAACTAACTCGGAACTGTAAAATAAAATTCCAGAATGCTTGATTTAATACTTTGTATTTTATGATACTATCATAAAATATAAGACACTAGCATTATTAACTAGCATCGATAGACACTAGCATTATAATTTTTATTACTACTTATAGTAATAAAAATAAATGCAATTATATGATTTAACGAGAGGTAAAATACGTTTTTGTTTTGCATAACATTAAAAATTAAGAAAAAACTTTTAGTTAATTTGACATTTCTTTGTACATAACGTAATATTGATTTTTTAAACTCGTTAAATACAATGCTTTTGTAAAAAAAAAAGAGCAAGAAATCTAGGTTAGGATAGACATTTTCATCTATTTTCAAGAGATAGTCAAGCCGCGTAAGTACTTGTTGTCTTTATCACCCCTTCCCTCTTGTATGCATTCTTACGTTTTTAGGCACCGCCCTGCCCCATACCTGCGTACATACTTTATAGAAAACCTCTGGACTACGGAAGTTAGTCCATGGCAGAGCCGACGACATCGAGATGAAAAGAAAATATGAATGTGAATCTTCTAAAGGAGATTGAAGAACAAGAGAGAGAACATGGTAGCTAAACTTTCAAAAATGAAAAATTAATATGTAGTTTCCACATTCTGTAGACTTTGTATTTATTTTTAGTAGCTTCTACACGCAGATGATTTTATTGAAAGAAAGACATCTTACATTCAAGTGCCAATACAATAAATTATAGTCATGCATGTCAAATGCTTCAAAAAGTTTAGTGGAATATTATGATAAAATTTATGCAGCCTTATCTCCAATACCTGCGGATAAAGAAAGGTCCGTCACAAAACTCGTCACGAAGCTTTATATTATTATCACTAAGCTAGAGCTTGCATTTATGATTGTTCTTTGGCTCTTCATACTTAGTAAGTTTAGCTTAGTAAGGTTCAGCTAGTAAATTTCTTCGAGAATTTGAATTAGTTTTGCAAACAGCAATTTTAAAGGACTTCTGTCAAAGTTATTAACTATTATATTGTTAGTACCATGGAGTTTCAAGTAAGCGCAAAACAACTTGTTGAAGTATGCTCAAAGGGTTTATTTTTGAAGTAGTATAGTTCGTACCATTATTAAAGTTGCAACTTCAAAATTTATTTTTTCATAAAGATGATTAAGCTGAACGTGATAACGCAATAATTCCTCTGGATGTTTTAAATTGGATTGTTGACACCGACATTATTGATGTATTTTAAAATGTTTATATAGTATATAGATTGTTTCTAAATATTCCCATGAAAAATTGTGAGGCTGAGAGATCATTCTCTACTCTTAAAAGAGTAGAGAACTTGCACCGATCAACAATGCTTCATAGTTGTTTAGATAGTTTAGTAAGTTTAACAATTGAATCAAAATTATTAAAAATAATGGATTTCAGCAATGTGA